GAGCCCAGCCCAGGGCTTGATCTCTCACACTCTGAGATCATGACCTGAGCCGAAATCGAGAGTCGGGCACTTGATGGACTGAGCCATTCAGGTGCCCCGAGTGCACGCCCTTTTCCTTAACCAGAATGCCTCCCTCACAGCGATCCCGTTTTTTTCCATGCTTCAGGAATTGTTCATGCATTCAGCAAGCATCCTTAGGGTTGCCTCTTCTGGGCCTGGCCCCTTCTTAGAAGGCCCCTTGGATACAGGGATGAGGCCATTGCAGTTTCTCCCCTGAGGAGCTCAGGGCCTCCAATCAGACTCCTTTGTGGCAGGGTGTGCTGCCTTCTGTGTAGCTTGAAAACACTTCTTTGATCTTTCTTAGCCCCGGAGTCCCTCAAGCTAGACCCTGCCACCGCCCACCCCCTCCTGGAACTCTCCAAGGGCAACACGGTGGTGCAGTGCGGCCTTCTGGCCCAGCGGCGTGCCAGCCAACCCGAGCGCTTTGACTACAGTACTTGCGTCCTGGCCAGTCGGGGCTTCTCCTGGGGCCGTCACTACTGGGAGGTGGTGGTGGGCAACAAGAGCGACTGGCGCCTGGGGGTCATCAAGGGCACAGTGAGTCGCAAGGGCAAGCTGAGCAAGTCCCCAGAGAACGGCGTGTGGCTCATTGGCCTGAAGGAGGGCCGGGTGTATGAGGCCTTTGGCTGCCCTCGGGTGCCCCTGCCTGTGGCCGGCCACCCCCACCGCATCGGCGTCTACTTGCACTATGAGCACGGAGAGCTCACTTTCTTTGATGCTGACCGCCCCGATGACTTGCGGCTGCTCTACACATTCCAGGCTGACTTCCAGGGCAAGCTCTACCCCATCCTGGACACATGCTGGCACGAAAGGGGCAGCAATGCACTGCCTATGGTGTTGCCCCTGCCCAGCGGGCCTGCCCACCTCACCCCCCCACAGCCCATCAAGCTGTAGGGTTGCTGGTGGGTCTGCTGGGTTCAGCGAGCAGAGATGAGGTTCTTTACTGTTTGGGAAGGTCTTCGTGCCTGTGTGTTCCTGGAAACACCTAATGATAAGAAAAGGACTCTAATCCCTTCCCTGTCAGCCAGGGGCATATTTATTAACCTTTTTGCCAGGTTATTCAGCTGCTTATTAACCAGCAGAACCAGGCCTTGGTGTCCATGGGTTAAGATAGGCTTCCCTTGATCCCTGCTAACCATGCTTTCTGCTTACTCTTTTAACAGAAGGTGGAAACATTCCCACACATAATTTCTCTTTGTCATTGTGAACTTAAGGATAATAAATGTGACGCTATCTTTAAATTATTTGCAAACATTAACTGCTGTGCATACATACTGTTTTATGCTCAGGTCTTTAAAAGCAGCTCCAACCTCTGGTCAGCCAGAAGTCCCCTCAACTCTGGGCTGGCTGGTCTGTGGTTAGAGTCACATCAATCACTCTGTTACTGCTGTCTTCAAAGACCTCTCTTGATCTCCCTCTCCATTGGTTGTTATGGAAATAACACTTCTTCAGAGCAGAAGCAAGTAGGGTCCAGACGGACGTGGCCTATCCCTGAAAGCTGCTGGACACGTGGGAGCGGGCCCAGAGCCTCAGTCTGTTCATGGCGAGTCTGCCCCTGGCCACAGCTGATGGTGTCCGTCCAGACCAAAGCTGGGACAGCTGAATTCTCTCCCAAGAATTTGAAAGTTGGAAGAGAATGGTTGGGGCTGAGTCATCTGAGACCTAGTGTTTTAGAGAGAAGCTCCTCAGCCTTGTGCCACTGAGCTCACAGTTGCCTGGAGTTGCCTGAGCTACTTCTCTGGGGAACCACTCTGTCCTGGTGCCCTGGCACTTACCCACATTGGCCACACAGGCAGAGGCTTGACCTGCAAGCTAAGTGATCCTCTAGGAACCCGAGAGAATGGGAGGTTTGTGAGGCACTGACCTTATCCCATGGGAGACTGTCAGGACAGGTCACCTACCAAGATCTGATAAGCATGAAACTTTCTGCGCCGCCTCCCTCTGAGCAGAGCTGTAGCCTATAAAACAGCTTAACTGCACCTAGAACTGGCTTCCCAGCAATGGGAAATCCCCCAACCCTCGTTGTAGTCCTCCTTCTGTTGTGTGCAACAAGGACCATGTGGAGCTGGCACCTTTGGCTAATCTTCTGCCTATGTAAGTAATAAGCTGTCTGAATCAAAAGGTGCTTGTTGTATCTTTACCGGCTGAATCTGTTGGGCCTTGGCCTTGGTTGCTGTGTGTTTGACACCTTGCAGACCTGGTTTTTGGTTATGCAGCTCCTCAATTCCATGACTTGGCTGAAGATTGTGGCCCTCTATATCCACTCTCCCTCCCTCCTCCCTTCTCCACCCTGTTCTCTGTCCTGGGAGACTGGCCCCAGTGGAATGCAAAGCCCTCTGGCTTCCTGTTGGGTTTAGCAGATGGGAGGGACTGGCAGGAGATCCAAGGGCAGGAAAGGGAATTCAAGGTACTTATTTTTCTGGTTTCCTGCCTGCTGGGCTGTGGGTTTGCAGCTTTCCTCATCTGAAGATCCTTGGCAGGTGGCCCCTTCCTCTGTTGCTCTCCCTTGTTCCTTCAGGCCTGGCAGTGAGCAGTGCTGTCACCAGCCCCAAGTACTGCACCACCTCTAGTTTCCCTTAACTCTGACCATCCTTTCATAAATACGTCCTTCTTTAAGATCACTTCAACTACCATTGTGTGCTCACCTCTGCCCCCGCCAGCTGCTGACAGACACAGTGGCATATGTCTGCACTCAACTTAGTAAATCCCCTCTTGTTTGGCTGGCCAGAGTTAGTGTTTGTGCTTGCAACCAAAAGATCCATTCAGTATGGAGAAGGCAGATGAAAGAGCAGTTCATTATGTGGAGTTGGCATTTAAGCTGAAAGAAGTGGAATACAGGCAGAGGAGAAGAGTTTTTGGGGGTCTAGTCCACGGAGAGATGCTGCAGCCAGAGCTGGACCTGCAGAGGGGGTGGAGGCTAGACCATGGAGGACCACTGATACTATCTTAGTGTATATTAACTTTGTTCTGTAGTAATGACAGCGTGGGAGTGGGAGAGTCTGCCCAGGGAGAAAATACTAGCTGACAGAAAGGAGGTCAGAGGATGGAACAGCAGAACTTAAGGAAGCAGCTTAGACAACGTTGCCAAAGAACTGTAGAAATGATAGAGAACTGGGAGGGAGTGCCAGCAGCAAAGATCATGGAAGCCAAAGCTTTCCAACAGAGAAGGTGTGCCCCGTAGTGCCGTGAAAACCCAGCCTCAGCAGGAAAGGCCTGAGGAATATTAGATTCTTGGTGGCCTTGGAGGAAGCCATGTCTGTGGACTAGCATGGGAGACAGACTTCAGGGGGTTACATAGTATGTGAGGAAGAAGTAAAGGCAATCACTGCTGATTCTTGTTTTAAGCAGCTGGACGGGGAAGGGAAGAAAACTGGGTCATGAGTTTGAGAGAAGGTGGGATTAAAAGAAGGCATTTTTAGGATAGAGGAGGCTACAACTTGTCCTACAGAAATACATGAGCCACATGTGTAGGTTGAAGTTTTCTAGGGGTCACGTATTAGACATTTTAAGGCACAGGTCACCTAGCGTCCACATCTTGGCTCCTAATAGCCATTCTCCAATGAAGAGGAAGCAGGGCTCCTTGGAGAAATAGCTGGTTCTAGGACTGGGGCAGGAAATACCCTGAGCCATAAGCCGCTTGGAGTGCCAGGAAGCACTCACAAACAAAGGTGTGCAAAACCCCTACAATAATAGAGGCCTTTCAAAGGGACATGGGAGCCCATTGAAAGCACTCCTAGTGGCCAAAATGGGAAAAATGTGAGCGACAAAATAAAACAGTACAGGTTTCCCCGCTATCAGAAAGTAGAGTGTTTCTGTGAGATCTGTCATTAGCTGAAGTGGAGTAATGAGAATCAGCAATTACCATTACTTTATATGGAAACATTTTTTAGTGCTACCAGACCCCCCAAATTAACTGCTTTTAAGCTTTTCTTACCTTTGGATAAACCTTGCAAATGAATGCACACAGTCAATCGAGATAAAGCACAGTTCAGAGCTACGGAGGCTTGATGCTGAGATGCTGCGTTTGTAGATCTTGGGGAAGGAGCGTGGCAGCGTCACTCTCACTGGGGTGCGTGCTGCCTCTACAAGGGCTTGCGGCAAAACAATACTATTTTTACTTTTCCCCTTTTTTCATAAAAGTGAAAATCCTCTTAGGATTTCTTTCAGTTAACAAAAACAGGTACTACTCTAGGTCTTTTGTAAAAGTGAAGTGGTGTAATGCAAACTTTCAAAAAGGGGGGATAGGGGTGCCTGGGTGCTCAGTCGAGCATCCAACTCTTGATCTCAGCTCAGGTCTTGATCTCAGGGTGGTGAGATCAAGTCCCACATTGGGCTCCACACTGGGTGTGGAGCATACTTAAAAAAAAAAAAAAAGAGGATACCTGTACTGGATTACAACTCAAAGTATAAAGTAAATATCCATGAGTCCATACTGATAAATGATTGGCTAATTAAATAAATCTGGGACGAGAGCATTCTGCAGAAGAATTCCAAATAATTTATGTAGCTACTTTGCCCTCAAAGAGGTAGAGTATAATCCCCTACTCCTTAAAGGGTGGGCTGTGCATAGTGACTTCTTTCCAGAGGGAACAGAGGGATAAAGACTAGTTTGCAGTGGAGAAGTGTGAATCTTAGCCAGGTGATCAAGGTTAACATCAACAGTGAAGGTCATGTTGATACTATATGCCCTTGATGTGATCTGATGAGGATGGTACTTTACCTGTAGTCTTCCAAAAACCCATAAGCCCAATCTGATAATGAGAAAAAAAATTTTAGAAAAATCCCAAATGAGAGACATTCTACAAAACACTGACCAGGATTCCTCAACACCATCAAGGTCATCAAAAATCAGGAAAGTCTGAGAAATTGTCACAGTCAAGGAGACGTGACAACTGAATTTAACGTGGTGTCCTAGATGAGACTTCCGAACAGAAAATGGACATTAGGTAAAAGCTAAGAAAATCTGAGTCAACTGTGGACTTTATTAATATTGATGCACTTGTTAACCACTCACCTGAAGGAGTGGGGATTGGGATTGTTTTAGGATGGGTTAACTGGCACAGCTGGCTGTCCAGCTGTCCATACCAGTTTGTGCTCCATTCATTCACTTCTTCACTCGTGCAACAGATGTTAGGTCCTTACTGTAAGAAGAACACTGGTTTAGGAGGCACGGATAAATGAGTGTCAAACAGGATTTGCCCTCTTGGAGACAGCTAGAGAATAAATCATAACTACATATGGAACAGGTGCTGTGAAAATAAAATAGATGTTACTCAGTTGGGGGTGGGGTTTCCACTCAAAGATCACTATTAACCAACCTAGAGCCACAGGACTGGATTAAACGTTTAAACAATTCTGATATAGACTAGAGTCAGTTCCCTTGCAAAATGCTTGCTGATGTGCTGTTGGCAATACAGAGAGTGTACAGGCAGGAGTATTCTGGTCCATTGAGGCCTGTCTACTTGAATGCTTAAAGTACACATGTACTGGATTTACTCAATGTGTATCAGTAACCACATGGATGCTGGGGACAGAGGCAAATCCTACAAAATCCTTGTTCTCCCAGAGGTCAGCTGGAGAAACTTTCCTATAAATGAATTATTACAATGCACGAAAAGCCAGCCGTTTGGAAACAAAGCACTCTTCCTCACAAGACGTGCCAAACTGAATTCTAAACTGTTAAAAGATTTAAGTGTGAAAAAATGAAGGCATAGTGATTGCTATTTGTAAAGATGTGAAGAAGAGGTTTCTAAGTATGACATCAAAGGCAGAAACCATAATTTAAAAAAATGAAAACACGTCCAAAATAAGCCACATTAAAAAGCAACAGTCAACTGTAGAAAAATATACCTAAGATGAGGTATATATTGTTAATATACAAAGGACACTAAGAGATGGTAGAAGAGTGACCAAAAGACAACGTGTTAGAATGCAAAGGATCAATAAACACAAAATATTCAAGCTCTATAACAAATTAAAACAGCAGGAAAATCCCATTGCCTATCTGACTGGCAAAGAGTGGAAGAAAAAAAAGGGAAGAGGTACGAAAAGGAGGAGAAAACGCTCTCCCAGCGCTCCACCTCACACAGGCCTTGGGAGCCCTGGAAGGGCACTGGGATTTCCGGGTCGGAACTTCCGTGCCCTTTGACCCGGAAGTGCGGGCGGACAGGGCGGTACCGAGGCGGGCGTGCTTCGCGACAGAGCCGTAAAGGCGCGTGGGAGCGAAGCATGGCGCTGTACGCGACGGCGGCGTCTGTGCTGGCGGGTGTGGAAAGCCGACGGGGCTCCATCAAGGCGCTGGTGTACGCCAGCAGCTTCCAGGTAGCGGGGTTCGTGGTTCGGGCCCGGCGCGGGGGGAGAAGGGGGCTGCGGAGGGGGGCCAGCCGGCCCGGCCCCCGCCTCAGCAGGTGTTTTTTCGGCCGCGCGCAGAACGTGAAGCAGCTGTACGCGCTCGTGTGCGAGACGCAGCGCTACTCCGCCGTGCTGGACGCCGTGATCGCCAGCGCCGGCCTCCTCCGCGCCGAGAAGAAGCTGCGGCCGCACCTGGCTAAGGTAGCGGGGCCAGGGGGCGGGGCTGGGCTGTGAGCCTCTCCGGACCTGGTCTCAGAGCCGTACGGTCCACGGCGTGACTTCAGCAAGTCGCCTCTATGAAATGAGGATGAGCAGCCTCTAGCCGGGTCATTATTTGAGGTCGGATGAAAGTGCTGTACCTTTGATCCTCGTGTGGAAATTAAGAACAGAATTGCTAAGTAGCCACGGCGGGGACTCTAGCTAAAACAAAAGGGTGGTGTTGACAAGGAAGAGGGTTAGGATCCGGGGCTCTGCTGGTGAGCAGCCCTGGGGAGACGGTGTGGGACAGGGAAGCAAGACACAGGGCTCAGCTCCCGTGTTTGCCGGTAATCTTTTGTGTGGTCTTGGGCAAAATACCTCACTTTAACCTGTTACTGCCTCGATAAGTGGCTTGGTTAGCGCCTCCAGTTCCGACGCTATACTTAGGGTTTTTTCTCGTTCTTTCCCCATCCCCAGGTGCTAGTGTATGAGTTGTTGTTGGGGAAAGGCTTCCGAGGGGGCGGGGGCCGATGGAAACCTTTGCTGGACCGGCACCAGGCAAGGCTGAAGGCTGAGCTGGCCCGGCTCAAGGTTCAGCGCCGTGTGAGCCGCAACGAGGATCTGTTGCAAGTGGGATCCAGGCCTGGCACAGGTGAGCTGGAAGGAGTTGTTGGGAGGAGGGTAGCTCTCGGGCTCTCAGAGGAGAGGGCCTCGATCCTGCTCACTCACTGCTGATTCCTAGCCTCCCAGGTGCCTCGATTTGTGCGGGTGAACACTCTCAAGACCAGCCTTGATGATGCAGTTGATTACTTCAAGAGGCAAGGTTTCTCCTATCAGGGTCGGGCTTCCAGGTGAGCTGAGAACCCTGCCTGGCTCCCTTCCTCTCTGGGGAGGTCCTTGGGGCCACTGGGAAACAGGCATCTGGAGGAGGAGAGAGGAGGGGTGGTGGTGACTGCACTCTGGTTTTCTCGTACTTTTCCAGCAGTTTCTCCCTCTCCTTCCAAGGTCTGGCTTTCTCCATCCCTTAACATTGATTCTCCTGGGAGTTCCATCTTACGTTCTTCTAATGTATCCATTTCTCTTGCTCTGACTCCTGTTTCTCCCCTGATGATTCATGTCTCCCAGTCTAGATTTCTCTCTGTATTCCCACCCTTAGTGTTCCTCAGCGCAGCCACAGCGAGTGCCGGACTAAATTCATCTTCTCTCTGAACTTTGCACCTTCTTCTTTTTTAATTGTTAAATCCTGTTTATTCAAAATTCAAGACTTAGGAGAAATCCTTCCAAAACAGTGTGCTTAAACACACATTACTAGATTATTTTGTGGTGGTTTTGTTTTTTTCTGAGGTATAACTGACATGTAACATTAATTTTAGGGAGACAGTGTGATGACTTGATATGTGTGTATGTTGCAAAATAATGGCTACAATAAGTCTACCATTTATCACTACATGTAATTACAGAAAGTTTTTTTTCTTGTGATGAGAACTTTTTTTTAGGGGTGGGAGGGGCAGAGGGAGAGTCTCAAGCAGGCTCCATACCCTGTGTGGAGTCCGAAGCAGGGCTCAGGTCGATCTCACAACCCTGAGATCATGACTTGAGCCCGTATCAAGAGTCAGACGCTTCCCTGACTCAGCCACCCAGGTGCCCCCTCTTGTGATGAGAACTTTAAAGATCTCTTAGCATCTTTCAAATATACAGTACAGTATTTATTATAGTCACCATGTTGTGCACTAGATTCTTGGGACTTATGTATCTTATAACTGGGATTTTATACCTTTTGACTACCTTTACCCCTTTTGCAGTTCCCCTCCCCACAGTCATAAATCTGTTCTCTGTATTTATGAGTTGGTTTTTTGTTTGTTTTTTTTTAAAGAGAGTCCATATATGAGTGAGAACATACAGCATTTGTCTTATATTCACTTAGCATAATACTCTCAAGGTCCATTCATGTGGTTGCAAATGGCAATATTTTATTTTTTGTGGCTGAATAATATTTGTGTGTGTACACGTGTGTACGTACACACATGTGTGTATATAGTTACATGTTTTCTTTATTCATCTAACAGTTGACATTTAGGTTGTTCCATGTCTTGGCAATTCTAAATCTGCAGTAAACAGGGTCTGGATATCTTTTTGAATTAGTGTTTTCCTTTTCCTTGGATAAATACCTAGAAATGGAATTGCTGGATCATATGGTAGTTCTAGTTTTAATTTTCTGATGAACCTCTATACTGTTTTCCACAGTGGCCGCACCAGTTTACACTCCCACCAACAGTGCAAGAGGGTTCCCTTTTCCCACATCCTCACCAACACTTGTTGTTTCTTGTCTTTTTGGTAATAGCCATTCTGACAGGTGTGAGGTGAGAGCTCATTGTGGTTTTGATGTGCATTTCCCTGATGACTCATGATGTTCAGCTCCTTTTCGTGTACCTGTTGGCCATCTGTCTTTGGAAAAACTGTCTTTGTCCAGTTTCATTCTTTTGCTCGTGGCCTCCATTTTCCCAAAACCATTATTGAAGGGACTGTTTTTTCCCTGTTGTATATTCTTGGCTCCTTTGTCATAAATTAATCGACCATATAAGTATGGGTTTATTTCTGGGCTCTCTGTTTTGTTTCATTGATCTGCGTGTCTGTTTTACGCCAGTACCAATACTGTTTTGATCTCTATAGCTTTGTAATATAGTTTGAAATCAGGGAGCGTGAGATCTCTAGCTTTCTCAGGATTGGTCTGGCTACTCGGGGTCCTTTGTGGTTCCATACAAATTTTAGGATTGTTCTGTGTCTGTAAAATTTCCATTGGAATTTGCTAGAGATTGCACTGGATCTGTAGACTGCTTTGGGTAGTATGGGCATTTTAACAATATTCTAATCTATGAGCATGGAGTGTCTTCATTTGTGTCATCTTCAGTTTCTTTTATCAGTATCTTACAGTTTCAGAGTACAGGCCTTTCACCTCCTTGGTTGAATTTATTTCTAGTTTTTTGGGGTTTTTGGATACAAGTGTAAATGGGATTGTTTTCTTAATTTCTCTTTCTGATAACGCTGGTTTGCAAACTCCTTGGGAGCCTTCCAGGTAGAATCTAAAACCAGCCCCCATACGCACAGGGCAAGGCCAGAGAGAGAACGAAGAAAGAGGCAGGCCGCTCCAGATTGACGTGGGGCAGGTTTAGTAATAAGGGAACTTCTATACAAGGCTTGGGCCAGGGCAGGGCGTATGGTGCCCCCTTGGTGTCGCTCTTGGAGGGTTTCTCCTCTGTCCCTGTGTGGCGTGTATTGTGTGACAGTTACTCTTTGAGGGGGTGGCAGGCTCCCAGGTTCTCCAGACGGGGCGTTTGCCCTCAGCACTGGTTTGATTAGCCCTCAGGTGGAATTCACCCTTAAGAGTTTCACCTGGTAGGATGCCAGACCCGGTGTGTTCCCTAGTCCTGGGGAGAGAGAGACCCCTTGTTCTCGGGCAGGGGGAGGATGCCTAGTTGGCAGCATCAAGAGACTTTCTTGATGGGCATCGTTGCTCAGGTTTTAAGGCTTTCCACAGGCTGACCGCTCTGTTCCGCTGGGGGCCCCCGCAGCAATGAGGTCAAGTCCATGTGCTTCCAGGTTCCATTCTCCAGACCCTTTCCGGTCATTTGGGGGTGGCCTTTTGAGCTCCGTCTTGGTCATGGGTCTCTCCCACAGCACCTGAATGTCTGTTGCACAAGTGGGCTCAGCGTGCCTGTGAGCAGCCCGTACCCCGTGCTGGGGGCCGACTGGAGCTCGCTTTCCTTCCTGCCGTGACATGGCCCTATCAGGGCTTTCAGAGACCAGGGTGCAGGTGGCCTGTCTCGTTCCCAACTCCCTAAGAATTTGTTGGACTTCTCTGTAGATTCCTGGGGTCCCGCATGCCCAGGAAGTTCCCCCTCATTGGGCCAAGCCTCCCTGCAGGCTAGAACAATCCAGTATCTGAGGACATAACTACCTTGCACTTCCTGTAAGCGTGCCATGCAGCCCCCGCTGGAGGCCCCCTGCTGGAGGGCGGCAGGGTGTGTGCGGACGTGGCTCTTTTTCTCCGGCCCCTGCGCAGTTGGGGCAGCCATCGCTGTGCGGGATGCTCCCCCCGGCCTTCAGCTGGAACTTGGCAGCGTGTCCGCGAGCTCGGAGGGAGGAGACCCTCTTGTCAGGAGAGTTGCCCGAATCGGGGGGCTGCTCTTGCTTGCTCTTGTATTAGGGGTCTGCCGGTGCGGGGTGCTTCAGCCGTCCAAAGCCCTCCGCTTCCCCTCTCCTTGCCCCCCCCATTTGCTCTACCGCAGGGCCATCCGTGCAGTTTCTCCAGCGAGCGCGTTAAAGTGGCCTGCACTTTCGGGGTGTCCCCGTACTCACGCAGGGGTCCCCCAGCATCTGATGTAGGGGCTACCCCGCGCCACACAGTGGTCACTGGCCAACTGGGGACTTCCCCCGCGGACCATGTGTTTGGTCTCCAGGCTGGCTCTCCCATGGTCGGGGTGCGATCTGAACTGGCCCCGCGATGCGGAGGGTAGGGAGCGACCAAGAAAGAGGCAGGCCGCTCTGGACAGGTAGGGGGCAGACTTCATAAGCAAGGGGACTTACTGGAAAGCTTGTCTGGGGCGGCAGCAAGCAAGACGTCTCCACGCCCACCTGCCAGAATCTTCGGAGTCTATACAGAGGTCTTCATGGGTTCAGCCTCCTGCCTTCCAGATGGTCTCTACACCCTATCGCTCTCTCAAGGCTGTGTCCTTGGGCAGCCTCGGGGAGTGGGGAAGGCAAGCAGGATGCACGTCCCAGGGACGGGGGTGAGGAGCCGGACTGTCCAGGTCCTGCCCCCGGCGGGTGGCCACATCACCTCCGTGACCTCCTCTAATGGTTTGTCATCTGTGTGTAAGAAACACAACAGATTTTCGCATATGGATTTTGTATCCTGCTGCTTTACTGAATCTGCTTAAAAGTTCTAACAGTTTTTTCGTTGGAATTTTTAGGGTTTTCTGTATATGTCATCTGCAAATAGGTACAGTTTTTCCTTTCAAACTTGGATGCCTCTTATTTATCTTGCCTGATGTGCTGGCTAGGTTCTGTTGAGTAAAAGGGGCAGGAGGGGGCATCCTTGTCTTGTTCTGGATCCTAGAGGAAGGGCTTTCAGCTTTTCACCCCTGAGTATGTTAGCTGTGGGCTTTTCACATGTGGCCTGTATTATGTTGAGGTGTGTGCCCCCGACACCCGCTCTGGTGAGCTTTTATCATGAATGGATGTTGAGTCTTGTTAGATGAGACGAGCAGGATGTTTGTCCTTCAATTTGTGAATGTGGTGCCGGGTATGGTTGGCTTGCGGGTGTGGAAGCGTCCGGTGTCCCTGCACTTTGCGCCTCAGCGTTCCCTGTCCTCAGCGAACAGGTGGCGGCCAGGCTAGCAGCCGAGTCGTGTCTCCCCGTCACGCCCACCCTGCCCGCTGCACCTTTCTGTCCTCCCAGAGCCTGCCTGTCATTTTCTATCTTCATGGGCCGAAGAACCTCCTGGTCTCCCCACTTCCAGACTTCAGCTGTGGTTGGCTGCAGAAAGTTCTCCCAGCGGAAGACCCTTCCTGGGCTGGCCCCTGGGCTGTGCCCCCTGCTTCCCGGGCCGCGGTGCTCCCCTGCACCCCCGCACCTCCTCGGAGTTTGACAGCTCTGGGAAGTCGCCTCCACTCCCTCCCTTTCCCCTGCTGCCCGTGGAGGCCAGGGTGGTGCAGCGGGGGCCGGCCGCTTGGCCTGGGGCAGCCGCCTGCCCCGTGCTCCGTCCCCGAGCTCGGTGAGCGCGCCTTTTGCCCCCGCCCCTCCCGCCAGCGCCCACCGGCCCGGCGTATGTTTCCAAGCACTGACTGGCGTTTCGTGAGCGCCTCCCTTGTGCGGGCTGCTTTCCTAAGTGTCTCGGACGTAGTAACTCCGTCCTCAACGGCGACCGTGCCCCAGAAGCGCGAGGGGGTGAGACCCCCCCCCCGCGCCCGCCCCCGTCAAACGGCGGCGGTGGGACCCCAGGGCTGGCCTGAGCGCCCCCTCGTTCCCTCACCTGCCGCCTCTCCCTTTCTCCGTAGCAGCGCGAGAAACGTGGGGTCACAGGTAAGAGGCCCAGCCTGGCGCTCGGCCTGCGGCAGCTC